TTTTTTCATAACTTCAGATTGAATGCTACGAATCGGAGTCCGGGTGGCAAGTGAAAGAAAGCACAAAACTCGGGAAAAGAAGCTTCTTTTCTGCTCTTGTTATATGATAGCAAAACCAAAACTTTTGTGCAGCTGAGATTTAATATGCAGGAACTGATTTGTTTTGATGATTAATCCTTCATATGTTTGCCATGAGCATCATAAGTAGCCAGGATTTTCACATTTTTGCTTTCTGCATTGTTCTATCCGTCTGCAATTGTTGGGGTGAAATGTACTATGCTACAATATTTAGTGCTTCAATCATTTCTAACAGTTCAATGAAAATTTCAGCTTAGATTGGGTATCATTTGCTGGCAAATAAAGTTGTTGTTATGCAGACCCAACGGTTAGAAAACTATATTTTTCTACTAGATATGCATATTTTTCAAATTATAATATAAGGAAATATTACAGTCCCGTTACGGAACATTCCCTCGAAATTTGAAACTGTTGGATCATCATGTAACCGTCATGGATTGTTGATCTAACAGTTACAAAACCTGGCGTGATTCCGTAACGGGATCGTAAAATCTACCTATGATATAATGAATCAACAAAAATTGAGAGTATGATTCTCCACTTTGGACTCATGTATTAATTGAGAGAAATAAACTATTTATATATGTATCGAACCTATATACATGCATTCTAAACCTTTTTGTGTTGGTGGTTAGGTAGAATAATTAGAGAATAATTTTGAGAATATATATTATGACTTTTGGACCACTTGCATGCAAAGTTCTTTCCTTGTTGGCTATACTCGAACTCTTATATAATGCAGTGTAAGAATCTCTACAATGGCTTATCCAATTGCTTTTGCATATAGTTTTTCATTCTACTACATAAAAGTTAATTAGGTTCATTTAGTCCTTCAAAAGAATAATAGGAGTAATTTTTTTTTTTTTTTTATTAGAGAATTTATTCTTAGTTGATCATGGATTAACAGATGCTACTTTAATTTGTTATTAACTTTTATACGAGTCCGTATTAGTAGATTTTTCTGTCATATTCTCACTACAACAAAAAAAAAAAGAAAAATCATACTCCAATGTATATTTCAATGAAAATTTTAATGGATATTGAATGGTATAACTGAAGTGAGATTTCCATTGAAATTTTAGTTGAGATTTGATGATTCAAACGATCATTTTTCAACAGTATAATACAATAGAAATTTGGTTGGAATATACAATTTTCGTTGGAATTATTATTTATTTCCACCAATATTTGAACTATTAGAAAATCTACCGTTGAACTCATCAAAGTCCAACAAAAAATTCAATGAAAAATCCTAACTAACGGAATTCAATGGAAAACTCAGTAGTATTTCTCCTCCTAATGCAGGGGCTAGGGAAGAATCATTTTCAATATAGTCTTGCAGTTTTCTTTAATTATAAACTACTCCCTCCTGTTCTATATAAATGTCGTTCTAGACATTAATACAATTATTAAGAAATTGTTTTGTTGCCTAAATTACCCTTATTTAATGAATAATCCCTCCCTATATATTAATTCAAAACGTGTTGAGCCTAGGTGGCAGATTTCACGCTTCGAATGCTGACATGACGGAAATCTATACTTCGTGATGTTGTTTTTATATTATTTTTGCTCTGGAGTTAGGTTTGGTATTAGACATAAGGCCATCTCCAACCGAAAAACTCAAACTCAAACTCATTTTGCAGTAACTATCTCATTTTGCAGTAATTCATCTCCAACCGAAAAACTCATTCTCAAACCCAAAAGAATAT